AGAAGACACCAAGAGCACCACAGTGGCGGAGCAAAGCAGAAGCAATATGCATGTTTAATTCACAACCTTCCATTTCAGCATGTTCCTGTTCTCATGCTACACACACTGACCCCCAACCCCCACCCTCTATTCCCCCACACACCAAGATGCTGGAAGTCAAAAGAGGAGATGAACAAGGTTGTCAGAGAATGACTGTGCACATATGGGGATGTGTTAAAGCCAGCAACACTTCCCAAAGTTGTCTCTTTATAATGGAAGTACAATATTCTAAACTAATCTGGTTGTTCTCCTGGGTTTAACATGCTCCTCCTCCCCATCAGTTCCACGGTCCCTAAACATGTCTCCCTCCTCACAGCACATTAAAGAAAAAATGGGTTTGGAAGGTTCTTTGATTTGTCTGGGCTCAACCACTAGGGTTGGAATTTATTTTCCCCAATTCTGGAAGAGGTAGGAGTGAAAAGTACAGTGTAGGCAAAAACATTATTAGTGTCAGTAAGTAGATCAAACTTTTTAAAAGGATAATGACAGTGATTTTCTGTTTATTGATTATTTTCCACAAATTCTATACAGACACCGGCAATAAATTGGAATTGGAAAACATTGTAATTTCTTTGAATCCGGAACCTAGTTTAGCTTATTTGTTTGTGTCATAGACCACCATTGTTGTCCAAAACCTATTAATAACACACCAGTGTGTTACGCCGCTGCACTGGATGACATGTTTCTTCCTCACTGAAATTGTGGGGTGTGTCTCGAGTCAAAAATGAGAATGTGAGAAGGTAGTGGACTAGTATAAATAGAGCAGAGGTCTCATGCATGCACAGTTGATAAACCATGTAGAGTGGTGGAGGGGGTGATTGTATCTGGCTGGAGGCATTCAATAAACTGTACCCCAGGCGTGAAGCTTTTTCATATATAGTTCACAAATATTAATTACAAACATACTCAGTTGGCAGTTTATTAATGCAAGTCAATACAACAGTCCTGCAATAAATCCTCCATTGATGAAGGCGATGATGTTTTTGTTCTGTTGTAGTGTTGATTGTATTGATTCAACTGTATGTCATTTTGGAAAATATACTGTGGGTTGTGGTCCTATTGAATTGTATTGTGTTGTGTTACTGTATATTGATGGGTCTTTCTATTATTTTCTGTCATTTTGCCCACCCATATCAGCGATGCTATATAACAGAAACAGCTGTCTGTATCATGCAGTACAGCTCAACAGATTAGTAAAAAGTTAACTCAGCTAAAACAAAAGGCTAAGTGCAGGTGTGGTAGCTGGAAACGAAACACACACAACTAAACAACAAAACCATGTGTTTGACAGCACCTGAAATGAACACAAAGCAACTGAACATACTCAGCTTTCTGGGAATTGTAACTGAGCCAAGAAGTCACACCGAGTAAACTCAAGAAAACCTTGACAAATAAAAACTGTCTTTTTGAAAACCCTGGGTCGCTGCAGTCAGTTACTGGCCTCCACAATCATGTTTATTTTCAGGGATGTCTGCAATGCCTGCTCCTGTTCATTTGATAGTGTGATGGCTGTGGGGCCAGCTACTGATAAAACTGACAACTGGAGAAAGCCTTTACTTGAAATGTGACATAATCATGACAGTTAAGTTTGCATTTTGGCAGCTTAATGCTGCTTTAACACCAAGTATTTCTCACTTGCACTGCCCACTTCCACATACATCCATTATTTTCGAGCACTTGCCTGCTCAAGTTTTTTTTCTGTATTTTCTTGGCACCATCTTCTTCCTTCTGTTTTTTTGCTCTCCATCTAAAACCAATGTGTAGAATACTACTGAAGCCAGGATAACTCAAGGTACCTTAGGATGAGCTGCTCATTTTTCACTACTCTACTACAGATTTGATTGTGACATTAACACAGTGAATGTGTGTATGTGGAACTAGATAGGGCTTTGTCCCACTTAGGCTGCAGAAAGCACATTACTGTTTGTTAACCCACAGTCATCAGGCTGAATTGTTACCAGCCCACTGGGGTTTCTTTCAATCTTCCAGATTACCACTACACCACTGGCAGCAGGTATGAAATCAACAGTCACACAGCTGAGAACTGCTGCATGGAGCCAGATCTTTTCATAGCAAAACATGTTTGCTGAGGTTGGTCTTTTTTTATTCTAGCACTTTATGCTAATGCTGCATCATATTCTGAAATCACTGAGAGGAGCTAATACAGCTGAGGCCAGTGCTGAAGTGAGGTCACTGGTCGCTGTAAGTCAATTGCAAGACATGTGTTGACCTCCCTGAGAGGCCTCATTACCTCTATAATAGTCTGGTTCAGTGCTGTCACCAGGCAAGACGCTACAATGCACCATCACGACTGGTGCTGAAATGATTGATTAATCAATTAGCTAGCTGATCAAGAGGAAACCAAGTGAGGAACAACTCTGATGATCAGTTATCCTTTCAGACATTTATTAAGTAAAACTGCCATTTGCTGGTTATAGCTTCTCATTTGTGCAGATGTTTTTTTAAACAATGGATTAATGTCATTATAAATGTGTTGTTAGGCAGAAGCAAGTCCAACCCAGAAGGATCCTCTGGTCTATTTCTGATCCCTTAGTACTGTCATATACAGTATGACACATATGATGGCTTATGGCTACTTTCCTGCCCTGTCCACCTCAGCAGCTAATACACAGTAATACCTCCAGATACAGAGTATGGTTCAGTGGGCAAAGCAGTCGTCCCCCAACTCGAGGGTTGGAGGTTCGAATCTCAGTGCTTGCAGTCCACATGTCGAAGTGTCCTTGGGCAAAACACTGAACCCCCAAGTTGCCCCCGATGGTTAGAGCCATCGGTTGAGTTGGCGCCGCAGATGGCTGCCTTGGTTCTGTACTGGAAACAAATTGCTTGTGTGTGACATACTTGGCCAAATAAAGGTGATTATTGATTATTATTAGATCACTTCCAAACAAGGTGACCACTTTATTTTGCTCCAAAACATCAGTATCCTCGCCATTTTCAAAACATTTGTCTATACGAATTAATTTCCGTGTTATATAACAAACTGAGGAGAGTTTGCTTCACAAGAGCCAGGTGGTATTTTTAAGTAGTGTCTCTCTAGCAGTACTACAAGGAATCAAAGTTTATGTCATTCCTACAATTGGTTTTCTTCATTTATTTCTATGTGATGATGGACAGTTTTCAGAGTGTCATGACTTTTTACATGTGGTGGAAAGTAACTAAGTACATTTACTCAGTTACTGTATTTAAGTACAATTTTGAGGTATCTGTACTTAACTTGAGTGTTGCCATTTTGTGCTGCTTCACTTTAGAGGCAAATATTGTACTTTTTACTCCACTACATTTAATTTATAACTTCAGTTACTTGTTACTTTTCAGAATCAGATTATAAAAAAAAAGTGTATAATCATAAGACTTTATTGATGTCTGGTGGAAAATTCACTTGTTACCCAGGAATAATTCAAATTGCAAACATATTAGCTAGTTAAAACTAGCCCCTGTCTAAAGCAGACAGGAAGACTGTTTTATTTAAAGGCCAGGCCTGCAGGAACACTTTTGAGGGGCTGGTTAGTTACAGGTTACACACACTCATGATCACACCTGGCAGCTGCCAGGAATGACCACAATCTTGTACTTTTGGCCACCGAGGGGTTCAATTAGAACAGCTGGAGGTCAAGTACCTTGTTTAATGCTGCAGCAGCGGCGACGATTGAAGACGTGTACAATGCAATTTATTGATTTTCCCTATTGTTATATACTCACTCAAGTCAGTGACCTTCAAGGTGCAAACGCCTGTCCGTGCCTTCAGCCAACTACTTCAGCTCGGTCTCTTTTTCACATAAATACACATACCACATCTCCCATCAGTTAATACTTCAAAAGGCTGCTTTACTGCAGCAGTTATTGGTTCCTGTGTTTTAGCTGCTGTGCCCTGAGCGATTTCAAAGCTAAAGAACCAGCTGTGTTTATATCAAAGCGTCTTCAGCCCGGCTGTCAGGCAGTGAGGTCTACAGAATCAGTGGCAGAGAAAGAATTCTGCTACATTTCTAAATCTGCACCGAGCATCATATCAAAATAAAACAAAAATCCAGTTTTAAAGATATTTTTTCTTGAAAAATCATTTTTCTGGCATTCCACTGAACATCAGATATAATAAAACTGGTGTACATAGCCCAAATTTAGACCAGTCAAAAAATACATTATTGCATGTTTAAACAAGGCTTGATCATCTGTTAAAATGAAAATGATGTACAGAGAACGCTACATGTTCTATGCAAAGACCTCTGACCTTATGAATACTGTACTTTTAAATGTGCACTATGGTAAAAAAGTCTAATTAACATAAAACCAATAAAATCATTCAGGGGGACCCAACCTTCAAGCCAAAATTCGATTGAAATTCTGCTTCTGGTGATGTTTCTGCTCTAAACTTAAACAAAAAAATGATGTGGCAGAGGCGCCTGATGCCAGTTATTTTGCAATCTAAAACCTACTGAGTGCAACATCCACAGACAGTGTATATATATGACTTAAGGGAACCTTGTTCATTTTTAACTCAGAACACCTATTACACATCCATGAGTTTTAACTCACTTGGAGTAAAGATAGCATTTATCAAAGGCTGTGGTTTGTCTTTATTTCATATTCCCACCAGCTGAGAACATTCACTATATCTGTAAAGTTGGCACTTTAAAGAATATATCCTTTGTGTGGGTTGGGGAGCTTGTCATTTTTCATGCTATAGCCTAATAGATTATGTTTAACTGTGAACTGCTTTCCAGGTTCAGCGTGTTTCTAAATTCTGTCAATGAATTAAATGTCTAATCAAACTGCACTGTGCTGGGACTTTGGCATTATCCTTCAACATTTAGATCTGACTGAAAGCAGGGATTACAGCTCCCTAATCACATCTCCAAAACACAAACACTGCATATAGAAAGAAGCAGGAGTATTTTTTTGTGTGCATGTGCTTGAATCAGTCTGCGCTTGTCATGGTCACTCACCTTGTCAGCCATAATCATAGAGGAACCCCCGTGGACTCCCAGGACTGGAAGTTGTGTCTGAACAGAAAGGAAGTCAAGGATCTGGGCAATGGCTTCCTGATCGGTGCCATCAGCAAATACGATGCCATGGAGACGAGTGTGTGACAGAAGCTCACACACCTTGGGACACAGTGAAACAAACTCAGGTTTCAAGCAAGGTGGGTGTGTGTGTGTGTGTGTGTGTGTGTGTGTGTGTGTGACAGTATGTGTAGCACTGGTGAACATTCGTAGCATTTCTCACCTGTGTAATCACAGACTTTGGGTCTGTCTCGTTGATCCTCAGTACTGCCACAGAGATATCAAGGGCATCGTCTGGGCGCCGAGATAACTGAAGATCTTGATCGGTAACAAGACGTGTCTGGCCCATTATCACACCCACACTAAGTGCCGGAGGCTTCTGGGATGCCACAGACGCCGTCATTTGGGAGAGTAGGAGCAACATCCAGCCCACTACACCCATCATACCCTGGAAGACACAGATATGAACACCAAACATTAACAAAGAGAATTTCTCGTGAAGACGGTTTGCTCCATGAAACCAAACATTTTCAAACCTGAACTTGTGTCACTGAGCTCATCCACTGAAGCTGTAACAATATTTCCTAACCATGATGGTTTCTGCCTGTTATCTGCAGTCTCCCAAAGGTGCAGGTGAAACCTGTACTCAGAGATGGTCACATGTTCACCAAAATGCTGATGTCATTTTCTTGACTGCTTAAATCTTTTTGAAATATCAGTGTTGGATGATCAGCTTTGTAGGTGCTTGTAGAGTAAACCGTCTAATCCAACAGTGTGCTTACACAAAAGGCACAAGGAGGGTTGATATAACAAATAGCCTATCAGTAAATGCATAATGGATAGGACGAGAGGAGTGTTTTAAGCTGCAAGGAAAGTAACAGATGAAACTTCATTAATCCAAGTGAGTGAACTGTTACAAAAACTGAAGGGCATCATTTTCATTTGCACTCTATAAAAACATTCTATACATGTTTTCCTTGTGTCCTACAAGACACCCAACTCTGTTTGTTTGAAAGAAATTGAGTCACACCTTGTGAAACGACTTCAAAATCCACTTTACTGAGGTGTGGACAGAATATATTTTCATGCAGCGGGATACTGGAGTCTTGTGTATTCTGATCATGTGTTCAAAAACACAGTAAGTGCTGTAAAATGATCCGCCCGCTTTCTCAAAGATTAGCTTGCATTTATCTTTGAGAAAAACAGTGTGACTCAGATCGAGTATGTGACTTGAATGTAATCATTAGTACGAAGCCAAAAGTGCAAAACCAAATATTACACGGCAGGAGCCGACTGGAGTTGGGAGTTTGGTCCTCTTTCAGTCCTCCACTATTCAAAAATCACTTATTTCAGATTCTAAGGGAGTGACCAGGATTAATCCTAACTTTCTGGTAAACTGCTAATTGGGCTTCATAAGGCGTCCTAAATCTCTCTTCCACTGTCTGGCTTTATTTGAACATCATCTATACCTGTAGGCAATGTTCACAGTAAAGCGCCTGCTATTAATGGATAAAATAACCATGAATTAAATGCAATCTGACTTCACCCCATTGATGGGGTACGAGGGGAAACATTACAAACTGCTAAATGATCACGTGTCTACATTGATCAGTACACAAAGTCACTGAGATGAAAAGTAAAATTTCTTTCAACATTCTAACCAAGTTTCAGCCTAACAGACGGGAGTCTAAGCTCCACTTCCCAGTTTCAGCTTACTTGTATTACCTTTCCCTGTAATGTGAGCAGATCTAAGAGAAGCAGATGAGTAGAGGAAATGCAGTGTGAAATGCCTTGGGCTGAATGAGAGCTAATGAAACCGTGATGCGAATGCTGCGTCGCAACTCAGCCAATTTCTTACACCACCACTGTCCAGCAGAGCTGAAAAACACCCCAGGAGGAAACATAACATCCACAAAATTAACCTAATGTCTTGATATGTCTTCATCCTTCTCTCTCCTCATTTTGTAACTTTGCATCTGTGGCTGCTAATCATCTTTTATCTGTTCATTTTCTTTTATTACATTTCTTTTTTACATTGTTTTTCTAATCCTGCCAATCTGTATTTCCAGCTGGGTTAGTGTGTGGATCTGATCCATGTCATCTCACACCCGGTGTAATCAGGTCAGTTAGTCAAGTCAGTACTTTCCCAGCTTGGTCTCTTTGCCCTGGTGCCCACAGACTAGCCTGCAGCTCCAGCAGCACTTAGCATACGCTGCTAAATCACACACCGCTACACTCCTGTCCCAGGGAATTAGCATCAGCTCCAACCAATGGGATGAGATTACAGTACCTTTCCCTGGAGTTAGCATCTGAGCTAATAAAACTAGGAGCAAGAGTATACTGTGCCACAGCTTCCAAAATGGTCAACGTAGCTGGAATACTTTGGGTCACTGAGTGTTCCTGCTGTCTTACAGGATTTGCCTTTGTGCTTAAAATCATATCCGCTGACTCACATGATTAGCTTCCAGAGGAGATGTCATCAGGGGTAACTATTGTAACATGTTGGCATTTATGCGAATATTTCCATGATACTAAAAAATGCAAGCTATTAAGTGTTCTTTCTTTCAAAATGTGTTAAAGGTGAAAGATTGTTTTAATAGCCATTTCACTGCAATAAAACGATTGCAAAGCCACACAAAGAAGCTTTTCTTCATCCTTATTCAAACATGTTTCCTAAATTGCACAAATTAGTCTTGTCCAAACACATTTATTTGCATGGCTGAAGTTTCATGGCTGCTTTTGTGAAATTAAAGGCAGATACAACACACCCAGTGCTCAAACTGCAGCTAAGAGGTCCTCAAGCTGCTTCAGTGACAATGATTAGAGGACCTCTTGCACACTATAACACAACCCAGAGGGATTTTCCTCAGTTATAGGCACATGTTTTGGTTCAACAATGTTAGCCATAATGCCTATTAAATAAAGCTTGTGTGGGTGTAATTGCATTTATCAGTCCACAATTTTATTTATTGCAATGAAGTAGCTCTACATACGTACATGATAGCACAAATTAGGCTCTCAGTTATGTGGGCTTTATTTCCCCAAAATACCTTAAAGTGATAATCCACCTAAAATCTGACTTGTAGGTTAAATATGCAGTTCTGTTTAGGTGGATTTTGACTTTAGGATTATAATTCTGCCATCCCTCGTACAAAGTCCCTTTCATTTCTTCCAAACAGGATCTGAATTTGTTACTATTACCTGTGACATCTGCAGTGATGTTATAACAAGAAATATATTGTTAAACATGAAAATGTTCTGCTAAATAAAAAAAAAGATGTTTAATGGCAAGTTTCATGTGCAAGAGACAACAAAACTGCACATTAATGTTAAACTACTGCACTGCATGAGGTAACAGTTGGCAGTAAGCTTTATACAGTCTCAAGGTTGAGTAATGGACTATCATATCATCACTTTTTTGTGTGCACAGCCACCGGGGTAGTATAGGATAGCAGCTGCCATCTGAAAATATTGTCTTGCCACCCAACTTTCTGCTCCTGGTGGTTTCATCATCAAATGTTATTTCTTTCCATGTGGTTTGCTAATGTCCATGTTATGCAGTTCCGAACCCTGAGCCAGATTTATGTACATATCTGGCAATCTGCATAAAATTAGCATCTGATTTACTAAAGTGGTAGCTAATTATCAGTTAACGGAACCATCTTTTAGGTGGATTCTGCATATAAACGAGAGCTGAAAAGATGCAGTTCAATGGTGAAATGCAGATGTGATTTGGTAATAAATCAAGAAAGGGCTCGAGCCCAGAAATCAAAATGTGGCAGTGACAAAATAAAAATCCCCATTAAATGAAAGTGCAACTTCATGATTAAAGCCTTGATTAAACAGTGACAGAAACTTTAGTTATTTACAGTTTACTAATCCCTATGGGAAAATTTCCTACTGATGGTGGCACCATCAGTCACTGCCTGGCCACCAGGGGTAACTAGGGATTCAGTATTTTATTTAAGGACAACACGTGAACTGGGCAGACCAGGGATCAAACCACTAACCTTCTGATTGGGAGACAACCACTCTACCTCCTGATCCACAGCTCCCCTGAACCCAAGCTTCTGGTGTAACGATACAGTGCTCTGTACCTTCATTTTACTACCCACCCAGTTATTGGTGTTTCTATTATAATAAAATAAAACCAGGGCAGTAGGAGTTATGAAGTATAAACAAACAAGTCATCACAAGTTCAGGTTAAATGGCCACAAATGCTCTATGCCCTCTGTTTGCCATAAATGGAGCAATACTCTCACTCTCTTTATACTACCATATAACATGCCCTCTGTTTGTCATAAATGGAGCAATACTCTCTCACTCTCTTTATACTACCATATAATTCCATGTATTCATTTCTGTCGTCACTGTAATTTCCGCAGAATGCAAGGTTATTCATTTTCCTCTCCATCACTCCACCCTTCCTTGAACATACCACTTCAAATCTGAGAATCTTTACTGAACACTGCCCCTTAACTACTGAGCTAATATACCAGAATGTGCAGTCAACCCCTCCTATCAAACCTCATTCTGTTTTCTATGTAGTCCTCCTTTAAATGGTAAATGCATAAAGGAGACAGATACACATCACCGATCACACTCAAGCATCTCAGATAACAGGCAAACCTTCAGGCCAGTACACCTGTTTGATAAGTAACATGCAGAAGTGAGTTTTATGTTGTCCAGTGCTATTGTCTTTATGAAACAATGTCGTTTGTCAACACTAGAAAAGTTAACAGTGGTTTCCTAAGTACAGTAGTTATAATAGCAGACAGTGAATTATGCATGTTTGGTGCTCCTACAAATGCACAACCTGCAAGGGATATACAGTATTATATGTGTTTTGAATGATTTGAATCATTATGAGAAAACTGGACACTGTTCATTTTTGTAGAGACAGTCAGAGATTAGCCACAGAGAGAGCATTAAAAAAAAGGAATCAAAGTAAGGTGGGGACAAAAGGTACATTTTCCCCTCATTCATAGTGTGGACTCTTTTTTTTTTAGATGGGAGCAGTTTGTTACGGTATTTGTTGGGAAAGATTCAGTGTACAGAAGTTAAAAGAAGGGTAGGCCACCCACCTTTATTTCATTTGGCTGCAATCATGCTGTGAGAAACTAGCCGAGCTCATCACATTACCGAGCAATTTGTGCTAAGTTATGTCTCAGTTGGGTAAAAAATAATAATTTAAACACATTGCAGATGGTGTTGTGACGTCTTCAAGGACAAACTGGAAAATTTTTAAAAGGTGTGGAATTTTTGTTTTCTGTGCATTTTGTTTTAATTTGGCAGCAGTTTTTGAAAGTTGGTTTGATTAGCATCCATTAGCAAATGTTTTGAATTTCAACATTAACTTTGTGCACAAGTGCGTAAAACAATGTATTGTCACCATCAGTATCTACTGTAGTTTACAATACTAGTACTTAGTATAGAGTTTGGACACAG